ATAATCCATTTGTAACTTACTTACCAGAGCCAGTTTCACCGATTCTCCTTGTTATTTAACAATCTATTCATTGCTCTGTTACTTACCTGAGCCAGTGTCACCAATTCTCCTTGTTACTTAACAAAAAATCCACTTGTAACTGAGTTACTTACCTGAGCCAGTGTCAAATCGAAACTCCACACTACCATTTTTAATAGCTAAAGAAGCAAAATCTCCCTGTCCACTTTCACTCTGTGCTGAGTATACAAGAATTCCATCCTTAACATCTCTTGGCTTTATCCTCATATTTAGGTTGAGGTTACGTAATGCTTCAGGTGCAGGGTATGCCAGGAAAGAATCTCCAGAGAGAGATGGCTCAACAATAACTACCTCTGAAATCAACCATTGATTAGATACACAATTAGAAACATGATATGGTAAATTGTATGACAATTATTTACTTCATCTTTCTGTAAAACACGTTATTTTGATTTCTAACATCTTTCTTAGTTATTTGCCAAAGCCAGTGTCACTGATTCTCATTTTTACTTAACTTAATACTTAACAATCCATACTTAACTTTGTTAATTGCCAGAGCCACCATCACTCCATATTATTAAACAACAATCCATTTTATATAAGCCATACAAATATTTCTAACTACTGTTACCTTTGATAAAGTCAGCTTGCTAAAGAAAATTGAAACCGTTGTACCGTTTTTATCTTCCAATTAAGTCACTTTCAAAGTTTTTGTAATCTTCATTTCAAAAGTTCTACTCTACCCTTTATTAAAGAACTATAATTGCCTCTGTCAACTACAAAGGCCAATTTAAAAGAACAAAAATTATATTTTCTTAATAAATTTGTCATGCAATAAAATTCAGTTTTACTTCTAATAATATCAATACTACAGTTAACTTTTAAATATGCTATCATAGAATACACGAGAAATATGCATATCTGTCTAAACTGAAACACGATGAATAAAACTCAAATAACTTAAAATCTAAATAATAAATATGTTGACAATATTTATTCATCACAGGTATTAAATCTTTCTTTTTTTTCATAATTAACACACTGAGTGCCGTAACGTATAACTAATCATCAACATTGTGGTGCCAAATACACTATGAAGATTTACAATTAACCCAGCTTTATATAAGTGTCACATATGAAAATGTTAGGTTTTATGACCTCACAGAGGTACCCTATACGATGTGACCAACTGGTGAGTCTCATGGCTCTAAAAGAAAAATATAATGTGAGTGTGCTTAGTGACCCACCAGTGGGAGTCACTCTAACTCAATTATTTCTATTTGTAATCACCACTGCCTAAACTGTTGCTTCTATTATTTTCTGAATAATTTCTGTCCAAAACAGCTTATGTGACAACTGGTAAATTTTATGGATCCTCAAATGTAAAGGAAGATTCATCAGAATGTTACCAGGAACCCTCTCCTGATTGCTTCAATTGCTTTTATTTCCCAAGTTTTCTGTGTTCCATCAAATATGTGCAATATCGAAATGAAGTAGATATAAAAGTGTACCATTTACAAAGTGCCAGATAATATTCCCAACATCCTTAGCTTTAGTGAAGGAATAATACATGAAAAACTGTACTGTTACCCTTCAGTGAGTCACACAGCAGCCAAAATGTTAAAATTAGTCTAATTTTGCATAAGCATACACTTTGAAATAATTTAAACATTTAAATAAGCAATAAAGATCTCTAATTCTCTTTAAGAAAGTTAGCACACAGTGGAGTAAAATATCATCATAGCTTTCATGGACTCTATGTTTTTAACCCATCACAACTTATTTCGAAATAATATTGAATTTCCATCAATGCACTAATGAAAGTCTTCATAAGTCACAAAAATGAGTATATTTGCACTTTACATTTTCAAACTGTATCTACACAACAAGAAAATCCATGGTTACTAAAACACAATTTTTTTTTTATTAATCTATACTTTCTAAATATTTCACTAAATTAAGAGATCAGACTTCACTGCAACTAGTACCTTTAACTACAGAAAAGAAGCTATATTTAAGTAACTTCATTAAACTATTTTTTCTTACAAATCAGTTCAAAGTATTTCCCTACAGCATTAAAAAGAATAATATGATGATGCTTAATATTAATAACTGTCCAAAAAAATAAATGGTAACACCTGAAAGTCTCAACTCTAGGAAGCACTTTAGCATCCATCATTAAGGGATATAAACTGCATATAGAATTTTCTGATAATTGTTATAAATTAAATAACATGAAAAGAGATAAAAATTATTAAGATTACTGAATTACAAATTTTAGAACAATTAATGCTAATTTATGGAATTTGAAAAATTAAACAATATCTTACTGAAGAACAGTTATATTCAAACAGTGAGCACACATTGCACTACCTCTTAAACATAAACTTCACTAGCTAGAACTTAATTCAAACAAAGTAGCAATCGCTCTAAATACTAACCTCTTTCACAACGAAATCCAGTTCTTCCAAAAGGACAGTAGCAGTCAAATCCACCACCTGGTTTATTAATACACCGACCTTCTCCACAAACACCAGGATAACAAGCTTCAGCCACCTTCTCACAATCATCACCAGAAAACCCTGATGGACAAATACACTTGTAACCTGTTTCAGTCAAAGCTTCTTGACACACACCACTATGAAGACATGGATTCCTTCCACAGGTTTCACAACTACCAATCCCATATGATTCAGCATCTTGGATCAGCTCATGGTCTTTGTCTGCAATCCTGAACTTACTTATACAACCTAGAGAAACAAGAACAACTGATAGTAGCATGGCCTTTATCTTATTAATATGACAAAGCATTTTGACTTGCAAATCGCCAATCAGATAGATGCCTTTTATTCATAAACATGTTTCCTTATGGATATGGTGGGAGGCCAAAGACGACGTGTGACAAAGAAAAGTTGAGATTCCTTACTGCCCTCAGTTCCAACAAGAACTAACTGTTCTCTACTATCTCAATTGTGTCAAAGCAATTTTCAGACAGATTTAATATTTTATCACTTAACATCTTTTAAAAACCTTATCAAACTAAAATTATATTTGCTTGGACCTTTTTCCTTCCAAAGAATTTTCATATAGAAGTTTCACAAGTGTTTACAAGTTAATACTGAGGACACATTAAGATTTTTAGTTAGCTATGTTATATGGGGGCATATCATGGGTTTCATACCTTTTATAGTAACAAAGTTTCCATTGATTATTTAGTTAGCTGCCATGGTTCAGAGTTTCTAAAATTATTTTGTTCTAGTTGTTTTGTCCTTTGTTCTCTAGTGGGTGATGTCTATTCTGCCTGCAGGGATATTTTTGACGTTGTATGTAGTCTACAATCTAGACTGAACAGGTTAACACTGAAATATTCTTTGCTGGTATACTCGGATGTTGACTGAAGCCTACAATCAACCAATGTTATTACAGAACAGAGGTCACGAGGTGACGGCATACACTAGACAAATAAAGCAAATTAACATCCAAGTTTAGCAGATATCCATCTTGAGAGACGGAATGCTGGTAAGCTATTCACTGATCTAGTAGAGGTGATCATCCAATTATCTACACAAGTGTACACTGTTTTTTTATGTTGAACCTAAATAAATATTGTTTTCTCTGTCATTTAAATGTGTTCAATGTGTTGTTGATGTGGAATTGGGCACTTGTTGAGCCTGAGACCACTTGGAGAGGTTTCCATAGGACTTCCAGGCTGTCATCATTCATAACGCAGCAGTCCAAGTTCTGATCCAGACCATATTAGCCAAGTAGGATTGAAAATGCTGGTGGTGAATAGTCTCTGCCAGTTAGAGTTGTTTCTCCAGCAGGTGAGACAATTGGCAACCAAGGATCAAAGCTATTTGGATGACTACTGACTGAAAGGGCATCACAAATCTTTATTTTCTAAGCAACTGAGTGAAATTTTTAATTAGAAATGTCACATTATCTTGAAAATGTGTTGCTTTACCAGTGCCTACTTTATGGGTGTAACCAGATGTTATAATGCACATTAGCCTATATATTCAGTTAAACTTTTGAGCAATGGAATTTGCCTAACCTTTGTAATAGGGATCAAATTCTATATGCACCAGGTTATCTTGACTTTTAAACTAGTCACCAGTTTTTCCATTCTCTTCTGATGAGTATTCCTGAAACCTTTTTTTCAGTTGCTTGATAAACTGCTGGTGTAGTTGATGATCATGATGAAGAGGTGTCAGCTTGGCTGAATATGCCCATTAAAATAGCCCAGCTAATGGTCAGCTTTCTTCACCACTCAATTAGTGAAACAGATACCAGAGGATGAGCTTGAGGTTCATCTATGTTGGATGTTTACAGGAATGTCCACTGAGAAATTTCATTATCACGAAGATACAATGTAGGCTGTGGAAATATTAATATTACTTTTTATTACTTCTTATTCTTTTTTATGTTTTGATTATTGTAAAGGATTTGATTGTTATGCATTGTATTTTCTTTACATATCATGTATTTCATATTAAAGTGTTATTTTGTGTAAAGATCGTTTTGTTTTTACTTTTATGGCTATAAACGTTTCTCTTGTACCTACTTCATTATTGCAGGGTATTTTATTTTTACATTTTGCATTGTTTAATCAGTAATTCATTTTTTTCATGCGCTTATACGAAGTATGTTAGATTACTGCCTCCTAAAGCTGATAGGTATTCATTGTTAGTTTATTTCTTTTTATATACGTGCTTGATATAAAAGTTACATTCTTTGGTACCATATTATTATCTTTAGTAAAGGGTATTTTTGTTCTTTAAGTGCATACCTATTAACTGCTTGTTCTTTGTTAAGAAGTTGTGTTGTCCACATGACATGTAAGTGTTTTAGGAGTAAGGTAAAGTTAACACACTTCTGGATCATGAGTTTAAATAATGACTGGTTCTAAAGTTTAAATGTTGGTCTGAGGACAGGCTTGAGAGAGACAAGTGTCATACATGGGCATATTATGGATTTTCTGCATTCTGTAGTAACAAAATTATTGATTATTTACTTCCCAGCGACTTCACCCTTTTTCTCTAGTAGGTGATGTCTACTCTGCCCACAGTGATATTTCAATATTGTTGTAAAATCTGCATTGGACAGATTAGTGCTGAAATATCTTTTGCTTGCAGATTGTGACATTGACTCAACAAAGGCTGTCAGGGAACAGAAGTCATGAAGTGATGCCATTCACTGGACAAAGAAAGTTAACATTCTGGATCCAGACATACTTTCTTTGTTCAGTTCTACTTAGCTTTCATTGTGACTGGTTCAGCAGAGATTCATCTTGAGAGACTGAAAGCTGGTGAGCTATTCACTCAACCAGTAGAGTTGACCATCCACTTGTCTATGCACAGTTTTTCTTGTATTGAATCTAAATAAATATTGAATTTTAAGTTGTGTAACAGATTGAACACATTTGAATGACAGAGAAAACAGTCAAGTTATCAACTACAGAATACTGCCATTATTTCTTGATTGAATCTGCTGTTATTTGCAAGTTTGGCTGTCTGATACTTGTTGATGAATCAGTTATTTGAAAATACCACAGCTTTACCTGCTATGAAATGAAAACTAGATACTGTTGAAATAAATACATAATAAAACAAGTTTTCATCTTGATTGCAGCCTACCATTATTATGAAACAGACTATTGGAACAAATATATTACAAAACATGTTTATCTTGACTGTATCCTACCACTGTTATATGATAAGTTCTTACATAATAGTTTACCTACTTCTGAATATTTTACTGTAAAAAGGTTCACACACACTGTTAGACATAAGGATTAGTTACTATAGAATCCTTTATTTTATGTAACAGTAATAATAATAATAATATTAAAAAAATGCTTATATAGCTATAGTGCAGCTACTTCACATTTTATACACATAAATGATGAAGCATTAGCACATTTTGGCTTGACATAGTTGCATGTCCCCAGATCTCTGTAGCATTACTATGCTTTGCAAGCTGATTGTGCTTCACACAATACATGTTGGCTTTTGATCTCAAAAATTATAACTCCCCCCTTCAAACATCCTGCATACAGACCTGAGGCCTGTTATATTTGTTAATACTGTGTTCTTAAACTATTCTCTTAAGGACTTTCAAGAATTAGAAAAGTGTATAACAACAGTATTTCAACCACATTATCTCGATTGCTTACAACAATCTAGAGTTGTTCAAGATTAAGTGGGATATAACAAACATGGTAGTGGTTGAAACACTATATAAGCCATTTTGTTTCAACAACAATTATTATGGTGTTAATGCTTTTTATAAGCTGGTGAAGCATGCTTATAATTAATCATATGTGTCATATAGTGTTAAAAAATACAATAGGCCTAACATAATGTCTTATATCAAAGTCAAATATCTTTCTTGAAATATTTTTAGTTCAACTTTTCAATGATGATACACAACTATCATTCATCCACATAAACTAGCATCAGTTACAATTATAATCTATACATTTAGAACTAGTTTTGTCATAAACATATTACTTACGAATAACAGTTGCAAGATAAGAACACCGAGTGATATCGAATAAGTTCCAGAGAAGGATGGAAATAATAAACCTAAATTCACTTACCAACAAACCCTGGAATGGATTCAACTGCATCCTTTGGCAATTTACTAAAATCTGGAACACCACCAATGTACAATGGTTCTACCAGGTCTAAACCAAGAAATCGACCAGGAGCAGAGCCAGTGGCTTCGGGTTGATCATCTACATTCACTATACCTAAAACAAGTTAAAAGAAACAAGTCAAGTGTTAGTAATTTGACACTTAATAACAGAAATTAATTCAAGATAGTGAAGTGAAACCACATTATATGAGCTCAACTATGGATTTTTTACAATACATTTTCATTGTGTAGTAAAAATACTGCTACCCAGTCTGATCAAAAACTTATCAAAATGGTGTCATATTTATGAAAATACTGCTACCCAGTCTGATAGAAAACTTATCAAAATGGTGTCATATTTATGAAAATACTGCTACCCAGTCTGATAGAAAACTCGTCAAACTGGTGTCATATTTATGAAAATACTGCTACCCAGTCTGATAGAAAACTCGTCAAACTGGTGTCATATTTATGAAAATACTGCTACCCAGTCTGATAGAAAACATAACAAAATGGTGTCATATTTATGAAAATGCTGCTACCAAGTCTGATAGAAAACTCAGTGAAAATGTTATTAACTGTGCTTAAAGAAATAAATATTTCATTTGCCATGTAAACTGGTATTTAAAACATGTGCATTAAGAATACCTCCAGTATATTCTTGTGTTCAAACAATAATTCCTCAATAACTTGATTAGATTTATGTCTGGCTGTAAAAATCGTTCATGTGATGATGCTGATCACAAACAATTATCATTAAATATTTTTTGAAAGATTTGATCATTTATTTCAATAAAAAATCAGAGTGAAGAAAGCATATCTTATGATGTTATTGAATGTATAGAACAATATTACAAAGAAAAAAATGAGTTAAGGAAAACTAGACATAAACTGTCTCCAGGGTAATAATACCATGTAAAAATAAACTTTTTGATGCATTTTCTCCATGATACTTCATATGAATCTAATATGCTTCAACAGTTTCTAGGTAACATCAAATCTTTACTAGTTTAATAACATTCATAAAGCTGAAAAAAAAATTCTTTATTAATCTATTTCCACTGAAAACCAGATGATCCTTTCTAATCTGTTTTCTGCTTGTAATGATTTCTCCAAGTGTGAGAACGGTTTATTGAAAAATAACACGATAAAAATTAAAGTTAACATTTTCCTACATTGAAAACGTATTTCAAAAAGGTACTTACCTTCCCCTCACCCAAAGCTATCCCACCCTTGATTGGCCCTCTAAGCATTGATAAAAAATGTTCCACTAATAGAGCACTAGTCTATTATTCCCCTTTATTTTCGTGCCAATTCAGAACATGTGCATACCATGTGACTACCCTTCACCAATCATACTGTGTCACCTATAATATCACAGGTAGCTCCCTCTACTATTCTAGCACAATCCTCACTTTCCAGAATTGGCAGTTACACAATAAAACACCGGCATATCAGTGGGGAGGAAAATTGGGTGAATGGAAGTAAGTACCTATCAGAAATACATTTTCAGTGTTAGAAAATGTTAGCTTCTGAAACAGTACTATCTCTTCTAACCCAAAACTAGAATCCCACATTGAAAAGATGGAGGGGCCAGAGAAGGCACGAAAATATCAAAATAAGCAGATAATAACTGCTTGAAAAGAAAAGGTGTACCAGTAGAAGAAAGTAAGGCACACCTGTGGGGTATAGCACTAGTTCTGGAACAGGTAAGCTTCTCAACCAGTAATAAAACAATAATATAGATAGGGGTGGAATGTATGAGTAACAGCACCATATACTTAAGATGTACATCACTGTTTTGGAGCAGTGTGGTAGAACTAGGATGTGAATCAGCATAGAGTGGGCATGTAAAATGTCTAGTATGCAATCGACAGTGGGCCCGAAGAATTATGTGCCCAGGGAAGATTCCTGGGGCATACTGGAGAAAGTCCATTGATTTATTGTCTCACTGAGTGGGTACTTAAGTTATGGGTTTGATTTCTTTCAGTGTACAACCCCACTCAGGAGAAAACCTCCATGGTCCATCACTGCAGCAACTGGAAACTAGAGTGGTAAGAACTCCCGTGCTCCTTTAAAGAAAAAAAAAGGGGGGGATATGCACTGGGGAGTCCAAAGGAATGACACACTGCTGTCCAGAAGACATTCCAATGCAGCCCTAAAAAGTCTATTTGTTGAATTTCAAGTGAACACCAGCTACCAAGATCAATGGTACACAAAGTCCTACACAAGAGATTGCATCTTTACTCGTATAAAATGCACACATTGAGCTTTCTCCTGCGTAGTTGCCATCTTCATTCAAACTTCAACCATTAGCAACCGGACACTTTGATTACAAATAGATCACGGAAAACAGAGGAATTCCAAGGAATGAGAACCATGAAAGGAGACGGTATGTGCTAAATAACATAGCAGGGAATGAACTGGATAAAGTAGTTGATCTGGATCAGAATAGGAGTGCAGGCAAAAAGTGGAAGTTAAAGAAGTAGAAGAAAAGGCTAAACAACCTTTCCAGGCAGCCATTGTCCTGGGAATGAAGGCCCGATTTGGATAGAGGATAACATACAAGGAAAGGTAAAGGATGCATGAAACATTAATGCGTATATATATTGGAACGATGACGACTGCATGCCAAGAGGGAAGGAAATAGATCTTATGGAAAAGATGGTACAAGGTACAAGGAATACATTGCAATGGGTTCAAAGGGAGAACTAGACAGGGAATGAAGGACAACAGTGAGATCTCAATCTGGCAGAACAAAGGGATGTGATGGATGAACTCGACAAAAGGAGTGGAAAGGAAGGAAATAATCTGTGAAGAGAAGGCTTTCCAGAAAGGGAAGAACAGGAGGTGTTTGACAGGGCAGCTTTATAAATAGCAACAGTGGAAACAGACAAAGCCTGATCAAACAACCAGGTGAAGAACTGGGACAAGTGAGGAACAGAAGGATGGGATGATCAGAAACCATGGTGAATATATTAAAGTCTGAAATAAGACCAATGTCTCTGGTACATAGACAAGGAGGAAGGACAAATGGTATGGGCAAGGAAAGATGCTATATAAGGGGCAAGTCCCTCAGCTGAGGCAAGGGACTGGACAAAAGCCACACGTGAAGGTAGAGTTTGGTGATGTTGGATAAAACATGTCCAATCACGGTTGTTGAAGGAGAAATTAGAAAAGAGGCTGTTGTTCCAGTAAGGGCCAAAGTAGAGGGAACCACATCTGAGATGGCCAATATAGAGCAACCAGCGGAACATGATATGGAATGGTCTGGATAAAAGAAATGAGCTTGATCGGAGGGTAGGTATAAAGGTGAACCCTCCAATTGTGATTGAAATGCATGCACCTCCAGAGTTGTGGGGTGAGAAAGTTTGGTATTCCAGCGAGTGGCAAACACATATATACAGTGTTCCCAGTTGAGAACATACCCACAGAAATACTTGAGGATGAAGGAACCACTCCTTTGGGAGAATCTGGTTGGGACAGGATAAGCAATACACCACATGATTCATAATTCTGGGAATATGACACACCAGAGCCTTCATGTGTTAGTCGTTGGCCTAGTACAGGAGATCCAGAGTTTGAAAACAGAGACTTGGACTTGGTTCCCCCTTGCTTGGTGGCATAGCTGATAACAGTGGAATTGTCAGAATGAACCATAACCACCTGCCCCTATAGGAGCAGGAGAAAATTATACAAAGCCAGATGAACTGTGAAAGGTTCTAGTGTCAATATGGAGAGTAGCCTCCTTGACTAACCACCAATCCAAAATCTCCTGGGAATCGAGGAAAGCCCCCTCCCAACCCACCAAGGAAGCATTTGTGAACAGATGAGATTTGGGACAAAGTGGAGGAATGAGAACCCCCATCATGGTCAAGTCCCTGTTGAGCCTTTAAGCAAGGTCAATCCTGATTCCAGGTGGAAGGGTGATGGGATGGCCCAAGGGATTGTGGGGAGAAGTTCCACTGGTCGAGAAGCAACCCATGAAGGGAATGCATGTGCACCTGACCTAAGGGAATGTGATCTTCCAAGGAAACCCACATCCCCAAAAGAGATAGAACCTCTCGTGCAGAAGGAGAAGAAGGTAGAGCCTTTATGACTGCCCGCTCCATATCACAGAGCCAAAGTGGAAAAGGCTGAGCCCAACCAAGATGGGAATTGAAGAGACCCCCCTCCAAATGAACAAGATACTCCACGGGGGTAATAAAGGACTTCTCCAACTTCATGAGAAACCCCACCCGAGCAGCTTCTCGAAGAAGTAAGTCGGTGTGAGTGCCTGATTGTGCACAGGAAGAGGTGAGCAGTAGCAAGTCGGTGTGAGTGCCTGATTGTGCACAGGAAGAGGTGAGCAGTAGCAAGTCGGTGTGAGCAAAACCAGTAAATATACTGAAAATGATACAAAAACAAAGTAATAATTAAATTATAAGTGCAAGTTTAAATTAAAGTAACCTAGAAGGTAAAAGAAGTATAAAAACCTAACTTACCAAATACTAGGTAAAGAAGACATGAAAGACCTAAATTATTGAGTGCAGAAATTAGGTCCATCAACAAAAGCACAAACAAACTTGCTAAACATGGGCATACCTACAGAGAGTGAGGGATACACATTGAAAAACTTATCACCAACTTCCTGGAAAAAAAGAACAATACCTAACCCAGTAGGTTATATGGAAGCATGGTAACATAAAGTTCTGTAGAAAGAAATTTCCACACAGTAGTTATATCCTTTACAAAAATTATACGAAAGGAAGAAATCATCGATTTAGCGTAAGACATGATCTCCCTGAAAATGAAGCATATACTTTTCCAGCATAATGGAGATAAACATTATATATGTACTGATTATTTTCCAACAGATTCAGATCTGAAGAAAGACATACTACTAACTTCGTTCCCCACTACACCACCACCAAAACAAAGATTGTACACTCTTAGACAAGAGCTACAAATCTAATCGAATGGAATGGGTATGTTCAATGATGAAAAAAACCACTGGGTGTCAATGTGACAATTCCTCCTAGTGAAATGTTCAATGATGAAAAAACCACTGGGTGTCAATGTGACAATTCCTCCAAGTGAAATGACTACCAATTTAGGCACTAGATCATCTACATTAGCCGTAACTATCGAGTCGATAAATAGACAAATTGTAAATTCCCACGTTCTACTTATTTATACATAAAAGTGAAAATATAATTTATATTTTTTTAAACTAACAGGAATTAATTCTATGTTCAGCATACAGCGTTTTCTTACCAATCTTCTGGTTACGAATAATTCTCACTGTATGCCACTTCCCTATTTCTAAAGGTTGGTGGCTTCGAATAATGGCTGGTCCAGACCCAAGTTCATATCGAAGTTCAACATAACCATCTTTCATTAAGAGAGTCATAAAGTCTCCAGTGCCTTCTTGTTGACCATTGTATAAAAGCAGACCTAAAAGGTGAGATATTATTAGTAAGAATCATTACTGAATAACTGTGAATCATATACAAAAAAAAAATAACTACAGCACAAGACAGTTTTATACAAAAAAATTTCTTAGTAAAAAAAATAAAAAATAGAAGTTAATTAAAGACAATTATGTATCAATAAATATAATGAATTCAAATAAGACCAGAGTCAGTAAAACTTGAGGCTAAATATATATTATGTATATATTGTACGTCATAGTAGTTAAAAAAGATCAACTGAAACAAATCTCCATTTCAAAATAAGTACTCTCAAATGTTAAGCAAAAAGATTAGAAGAACTTGAACTGCTACACACTGGAAATATTTGTTAGAACTTGTTCTCTTCAAGAAAGTTTGCTTCTATAATAAACCATATTTATACAATCTCTAACATTTAAACATTCTCACGTTTTTGATTCCTTATGTGATGAAACCACTTTTAATTAATATTTTTTGCCTTAGTTGTTCTGTATCCTAAATTGTATCCAAAATGCATTTATCTTAGTGGTTCTAACCTGATCTACTTAAGTTTCTTTATTCTTTCTTAAATAAACTTTTTAGTTCTATCATGACTGGAAATTTTTCACATTAGCATTTCTTTCCTTTTTTTTTTATCACACACATCTTTCAAAAACTTGTCGACAAACTCGTTATATGGCTAAATAATTACTGTAAATAGTTATTGTTTTACAAGTAACTCTCAAGATCTATTTGAGAAGTAAGATTAGCATTAGCCATTTTCAGACAAAATAATGCTAAGAAAACAAAGATATCACTAGAAAAATAAACAACATCATGATTATATGGAATAAAAAAACCTATTTCATGTATGAAACTTAATTGAATGGATGGCAACTGCTTGTAGTACATCCTCTATACTTGTGTTGCTGTCCATTCCACTAAGTTTCATACATGAATACTCTGCTCAATCAATCTATCAAAGAATACTATTTCATGTACTTCATAAAATTTTCTCAGATTATTTTAAACATAAAAACATTGCTCATTCATTTTTCATGTTGCTGTCAAATTGGTTAAAACAATATTTCAGATATTTTTATGTTGACTATTGAAATTACATTTTAGAAAT